CCTGGATTCTTTCCCCCTTCCCAGCTTACCACCCTGGGCCTTAATCAAGTTTCTCAATGAGACATCTGGGTACTTAACTTGTCCTCTAATGAAGGATTTGCCTGGGCACCTCTACCTGGTAAGGCCATTTTTCCTAAGTGGCTCTATTTCCTGAACACACCTCTTTGCTTGGGAAATCCAGGCTGCAAAGAATGATGTAGGAGGCTCAATTATCTTCAGAATTCACCTTCCTCACCCTTTATCTCACTTCCCTTTTTTTCCCTTCTGGGATATAAATCATTCCACACTGAAGTTCTGTAAACCACTTCCACATTTAATTTTTTCCTTGATTTATTGCCTTGCCACTATTTGAAGCTCTTTTCTTAACAGTAGCCTGTATGAAAAAGCAGTAGGAGCTTTTGTTAACTAGAAGCTCAATGTAAGTCAGCAGTATGATGTGGCCACTAAAAAAGTTAAGGCAATTTCATTAGAAAGAGAGGGCCCAGAAAGAGGGTGATGAAGGCTTTTGTTCTGTTTTACTGTTCCACCCTGAGAGTCAGCTTCTGCTGCCTTACCACCCTGATTAAGGATGCTGCAGATGGAGAGGGTCGTTGTCCTGAGAGATTGCAATCACATTGGCCTCCTGATAGTTTCTCAATAGACTAGGCACATTCCTTCTTCAGGGCTTTTAAAGGGCTCTTCTCTCTACCTGAAACATTTTCCCTAGTTTTTGACATGGCTATTCCTTTATTTCATTAGGCCTCTGTATGGATATCTTCTCTCCAGAAAGGCTGCCTCTGACTTCATTGTTCAAAATAGTTTCTCCCATCATTCTCTATCTCCCTTTATACTGCTTTGTTTGTCTTTGTAACATTAATCATCTCCTGATACATATTATCTGTTTCTCCCATGAGAATATAAACTCCATGAACATAAAGTATTTGTTTGTCTACTGATATATCTAAAACAGTGCCTGACACATAGTGAGAGCTCAATACACGTTTGAATAAACAAAGTACTTCATAGCATTTACTTCATGGTACTATAATTTATCTTTTCACTCATCTTGTCCCCACTAGAATCTTATCTAAGAAACCTCTTTTTTTTGACATTTAATTAGCCAATGCCTAGCATGGAATGTATTGGATGAATGGTTGGGTGTCTTGTCAGGGATGTTGCAGAGGGGTTTCAAACATTGGGTGGGGTTTGCCTAAACCCACACTGCCCAATTCAGTAGCCACTAGATACATGTGGCTATGGAACACTAGAAATGAAGCAGTTGGTTTAAGATGACTGATAAGCTGAGAATTACATTTGCAAATGTAAAATACACACCAGATTTTGAAACCTTGGCATAAAAACATGTAAAATATTTCATCAGCAATATTTTCATTGAGTATATATGTTTAAATAGTAATATTTTGATGTATTGGGTTTAATAAATTATATTCTTAAAATTAAGTTCACCCATCTTACTTCTTCTTTATTGTGGCTACCAGAAAATTTGAAACTACATATGTGACTAGAATTATATTTGCTTTGAGTAGCACTGCTCTAGAGATTTTGACAAACTCCATGTTTAAACCTTGACCTTTACAAGCTTGTGAGGGTATGTGTTGGGGGTGCTGTAGAGGTGGGTCCTTGTAATTAACACAGAAGAGAGTTCTCCATAATCACTGTTCCTGGGGGACTGGTGACAGCAGGACCAAATAAGTACCAGGTCAAATAAGCACTATGGTTTGTTACTCAACCTCATCGTTCTCATTCCTGCCTTCTCTCACCCAGAGTCCTCAGAGCTGCTAGCAACAAGCCAGATTGAATGGTTAGAATTTTTCACCTCCTTTCTTAGTTTCATGCCCACCCTGACAGTGAGAACAATGAATAGATAAATGGTCCAAAGGTGAGCTACAAATTCAAAAAGGAGAATCTAGCCACAAGCACCTTGGATAATCTATACCCAGCAGAATTCCACTTTGGAAAGTCTCTCTTTTCCTGATAAGCAATTTTAGCCATGTAACCAATTCCCGTCAGAGCTCTGTGCTGAGTTATCCAAATAGAGAGAAGAAGAAGACACATCATCTGCTCTTTAAGGGGATTATAATAAGTTTGGGAAACAGAACCTATGTGTGTGGAAAGTTAAACAAGAACACAAAACAGTCATCCAAGAAATGTTGGGCAGAGTGTGATTAAGGGCCAAATAAATGACCCAGAGTGTTAATGCTTTAGGAATTCAAATCAGTGTCAACTCCAAGGGTCAAGGAAAGTAGAGAAAGCTTCCTCACAGAGGTGGTACTTGAGCTGGACCTTGGAGGATCTGTGTGTTGTTACAAAATCCTAGATTTCCATAGGTTAAAAGGCCCTCAGAGACATAGTGTACTCCACATTATGTGGATAAGGAAATTGAGACTCAGAGAGAAAAGTCTCATGGTAAGTAAGGAAAAAGTTGGGATTAGAACCAAGATTTCCTAGTTCCCAGTATACTACTCTCTCCTTCAGGTGCTAAGGAAGGATGGTGTTCTAGGTATAAAAAAGGCCCAGAAGCCCTAATGCCTTAACACTTACTCCTTAATCTGCCCCCCTCCCAACACACACACAACATATACACACACAGAGACATACACACACATCTCCAAACCTTATATGGGATCTCCCTTTCTGTTCTCCTCAAGACCAGGTTAACTTAGCAGATAATACAGATAACACTGAATTCAAATTCCAGTCAAACACCAATTCCTTTTTATTTAGTTAGAAATGGGCCATGTGTTGATGAATGGCCTCTCTAATGTAACCTGCCATCTCAAAAGCCTTAAGGTTGAGAGGCCCTCCTTCTGTTCCTTTTTGTCCCATCACCACAAGGTATACAGACTCAATCTGAACTACAGTCACTGCCTGGCTGCTCCGACTTTGGCCTTTGGTGCGGAGGTCCATGGTGTTGTTGCCCTCAGTGTAAAGGTTGTCCCGAATCAACAAGCATTTGGTCCCTGCAAGGGTGATTCCCTGAAGAAACAACTTCTCTCTCCCCTCTCTCGCCAGCAAGATCTGAATTTCTTCCTGGGTCAACTGGAACAAGTTGCCTTTGGGGTAAGAAGCTAACAACCAGGGTGGGGAATTAGTGATAATCGCTGCATCACAGCATATCCCAGTTTGTAGGAAGAGGGTGATGCAGTCTTGCCAGACCTCTTCGCTGATATCCCCTATGCACTGCATGATTCAAGTAAGCTGTCTCTAAAAGATGAATAATGTTCTTTCTAGTAATTTGGTCTGCAAAAGAAGTTTGTTAGCAGTTGGTTTAAGATGACTGATAAGCTGAGACTGAAATAACCTAAAAATACAGTCTGTTTCTGATAGTCTCTCCCCAGCAGCAAAGTGGAGGAGGTCTTGGTGACTTGTATGAAGTTATGGCCCAGCTGCCCTCTGCTGTGATTTATCAAGCTATCTCTTGAGCATGAGTGAGGTCACAAAGGCTCTGTGACTTTTTAAATAGTCATCATCCACCACATTATGGGTGACTTTTGGTAGCAGCTTTCTGAAGGTGTACCTCTAGCTATTGAGATAGAAAATGGAGCAAAGTATACCTACTTCCGTAGGATACCATGGGAAGAACACCAACCCCCAACAATGGAAAAGCCCTCAAAGTAGAACATAAGTGGGCAACAATCGAGTTGGAGATTTGGTTATAAAACAGGACACATTTGCTGCAGCAACTAGCATTTCAGATGTTGGCTAATTTTGCTGAGGCCTGAGCTCTAGGTACAAAGTCAAAAGTCCCACAGACTCATCAGTTCACAGCTCCTTTTGGGAAAACCACAATAGCCTCCTCATGGATTCCCTGCCTTCAGACTCTTTCCTTCTAGTTTATCTTCTGGCCCACACCAGCTGTGAGTTTAGAGTTATTCATTCCTATCTAGCCATTCAGCAAGTATTTATCAAGCATTCATTATGTGCCAAGTACTTTTCTAAGCACTGGGATACAGTAGCAAACAGAGAAAAACCTCATGGAAGTGACATCATAGTGGGGAAGAAAAATAATAAACAGATGGTAATAGTATCTTTTTTACTGAAAATATTTTGAGTCCAATACTTTTTTCCCCAAATTTTCCCTCTTATTCCCAGGCTTTCTTTACTCTAGTGGGGACCCATTTGACTTCTGATTCTTCTGCAACCTTTGGCAAGCTACTGCTTGTCCCTTAATTTCCTCTGAAATGACGTCAACTTGCCTTAAGGACGAAATGTTAGGGGAAATGGTTAAAGTTAATGGTGGATAAAATCTGGGATAGCTTTGAAAATTTATTTGTGCAACAAATATTTATTAAGTACCTACTGTATGCCAAGTTCCTGCCTCACAAAGCTGACATCGTAGATGGGGAGACAAAAAAATAAATGACACTTATAATATATCAGCTTTTCCAACTCCCAGACTGTTATTTTTTCCATCACAGTCTGATTCAGAGAATACCACTGAATGACTGCACCTGTCGGCACCTCACCTGAGAGGTGGTCTGGTGGGCCTTTGGTCCTTTTCCCAGATCTGTGATGACAAAAATTATGAGGCCACTGCAATCGTCTGGGACTTAACTAGGTTAATGATAGTAGACTAGTAAAAGAGGGGAGTGAGAGAAGGATATGCTTATACATCATTTCAAAAAGTATTCTATTGTGACTTGTCCAAGGTCTCACAGCTCTGAAGCTTTTCAGAAACCCAGTTACCAGAATGGGATTATCTGTGCTATCTTGGTAAGGTGTCATCACTGTTAACATTAGAGAGTAGTGGAATTATATAGGTGCCCAGAACTCTTACTGCATTAAAATGTGTGAGAAGGGAGGCAGTACTCGAGTCTGGGACTTAACTCCTGGGCCAAACCTGTAGCCCAAACCAAAAAACCGCCAGCTTCCCACCACAAAGGGCATTTGCCAGGAAGCAAGATGGCAGGAGAGGCCACAGACAAAGTGTCGCGATAGAAACCTCCAGGAGGATCACGTGACGAGAGCTTGTGCCATGACAGAGAGGGCGGCGAGGGGAACCTGGGTTGAGCAAATAGGCAGCTGGAGCGGTGGCGGCAGCGGGCGCGACAACCCAAGTGGCACTGAGGGCTTCAGGTGGCGGGAACATGGACCATATCACGGTGCCCAAGGTAAGGAGGAGAGTTAGGAGAGGCTGGGAGCCCCGAGCTCTCTTCAGGTATCCAACGGAGAGCCCAGGCACACCCTCTCAAACCTTTTCTGGGAGCTCTTTGACGCCTTCTTCCCGCGCTGGGACCTGCGTTCTCCCCTTTCAAGCAAACTGAACTTTTCTCAGGACCCGCCTTCTGGCGGCGGCGCCTCACGCGACGCGGGGTGCGCGCCTGCCAGGTCGCTCTCTGCCCTGCCCCTCAGACCCCAGTTCCTTCTGGCACCCCAGCAGTCATCTCACACACCTCCTTACTCCAGCCTCTTACTACACACTCGCCACGCTTGTAACCGCCTTTCTTGAATACCCCACAGGCCATCGCCTCCCAGAGAGTTACTTCCTGTGTCCGGCGTTTTCCTATCCTCCTCTTGATTCCCTCTGCCCCTAACCTGCCACGAAGGCTGCCCGGACCACCACCACTGCCCCTCATCCAGGGCAGTTTTGGGGGTTACAGCATCTCTCCAGCCCAAGCTGGGCTTATGGGTGAAGGAAGGAGATGGAGCACAGTAGACCTGGCCCTGCTCAGCCACGAGGAAAAACCCAAAAGGTGGCATCGCCAGACCAGTTGGCGCCTGCTTACAGCAATCGCCAGTTAGAGCCGCTTCTACTTTTCTTTTTAGATCCTCCCTCTTCCCTCCCCATCGCTAGCCTCTTTTTATTCCAAATCCGTCTACTTCCTGTCAGTTTTCTTTCTGCCATCTGAGACTGAGGATCAGGAAGAATTCACACAACTAGTCTCTGCTTAATTTTTTCTTTCAATCAATACAGACGCAGCCCAGGCTAACTGAAGTCCACATAAAAGTCCAGTATGTTTTAATTGAAAAAACATGGTTTTTGAACCCAGAACACTTAAATTAGAACGCTGGTTCCCCCAGCTACCAGCTGATGACTTTGGACAAATTATTTTACTTCTCTGAGCCTTTCTTTCTTCTTGTATTAGATGGGGATAATGAAATTTTCTCTGCTCACTTCACAGGGTGGTTGTGAGGACTATATAAAAAGACATGTGTGAAAGCTTTTTGTAACTAGAAAAATGTTCTACCTACTTGTTAACTTAAGATTATGATGCTGCCTGTTGGGCAAAGCAGGAAATGTAACCTTCAAACCTCTCCTTTAATGACTCCTTCTTTTATTTTTTTAAAAATGTTTTATTTATTTATTCATTAGAGTCAAAGAGAGAGAGAGAGGCAGAGGGAGAAGCAGGCTCCCCGCCTAGCTGGGAGCCCGATGCGGGACTCGATCCCAGGACCCTGGGATCATGACCTGAGCCGAAGGCAGACGCTTATCCTTCTGAGCCACCCAGGCGCCCCTAATGACTCCTTCTTTAGGCCCTTTCTCTGTTGAAGATAATAACATTCCTTGTAGTATACAGCCTTACCTTTTTCTGGGTCCCTTCCTCTGCAGGTCATGTCATCTACACCAGGTTCTCTGGCATGATATAGGAAGGTGGCATCATCAAAGCAAATCATCTGCTACCCAGACTCCCTCTTTTCCCGACCCACTTAACCCTGGGCCACCCTACTTGCCTAGTTCAAAATTATTCCCTTTTGCACCTGGTGGCCATACAGTACATCATTAATTTTTGATGTAGTGTTCCATGATTCATTGTTTTCATGTTAACACCCAGTGCTCAATGCCCTCCTTAATACCCATCACCGGGCTAACCAATCCCCCCTCCCCCCTCCCCTCTAAAACCCTCAGTTTGTTTTCTCAGAGTCCATAGTCTCTCATGGTTCGTCTCCCCCTCCGATTTCCCCCCTTCATTTTTCCCTTCCTTCTCCTAATGTCCTCCATGGCTATTCCTCATGTTCCACAAATAAGTGAAACCATATGATAATTGACTTTCTCTGCTTGACTTATTTCACTTAACTTAATCTCCTCCAGTCCCATCCATGTTGATGTAAAAGTTGGGTATTCATCTTTTCTGATGGCTGAGTAATATTCCATTGTATATATGGACCACATTGTCTTTATCCATTCGTCTGTTGAAGGGCATCTCAGCTCCTTCCACAGTTTGACTATTGCAGACGTTGCTGCTATGAACATTGGGGTAAGCACCAGACTCTTGATTTCAGCTCAGGTCATGCTCTTGGCTCAGGTCATGATCTCAGGGTTCTGGGATCAAGCCCTGCCTCAGCCTCCATGCTCAGTGGGGAGTCTGTTTGAGATTCCCTCTCTCCCGCCCCCTCTACCCCTCCCCCTTGTGCCTGTGTGCTCTTTCTCTCCAAAATGAATAAATAAATTAAAAAAAGAATTTCTCCCTTTTTATTTGACCTCAGAGAGAGCAAGGAGGCAGAACTACCCTTTTGCTTGAGTATTAAAATATTAAAATAGTTAAAATATTAAAATCCTAATGCTGGGAGATTAAAGCTATAAACTGGGCTAGCTGTATAGTAAGAGAGAAGATGCCATTATCCCACTTATATCAAAATAATAATAGCCGCTAATACATTGAATATTTAACTATGTGGCAGGCACTGTGCTAAATGCTTTACATGAAATAGGTCTTCAGTCCTTACATCAACCTATATGGGAGGTACTATTATTATTCCCATGTTACAGATGAGGAAACAGACCCATAGAGGTGAAGTGAGTTGCGTAATAAAGATAGGAGTGCTCAGTTTCAAACTGTTGTAAAGATGAGGTTAATGCTCAAGAAAACTTTAATTGGCATCATGCCCAGACTCCATTTGTACTGCATGGATGATGGCATTGTTACTCTTGGAATATAAATAAAAACTCCAAGTGAAGACTTAGTTCTTTAAATAAAATAGGCATTTCATTTTGTGTCCAGCAGAGCTGCATGCCCACAAGTGGTATGCTGCCACAAGTCTGTTTTATCTTTTATTATTATGAGTTTCTGGGAAGGATTAGGGTTGCAGTAATGGCTAGGGATTAAGATAGCCTCTCTTGTTAACTCACTGTATCCACAAAAGGAAGAGATTGTCTTGTCCATCTCAGGACAAAGAGATAACCATGAGCTTGTCAGTCATTAGTTCTGTATGTCAATGCAGAAGTGACTTTTATTTTTGGCTCTTGTCTTTTTTTTCTCTTGGAAAGACTTTTAAAAAAAAACTATTGAAGTGTAACATATATAGAGAAAAGTTTATGTCTACATAATATAATCTATTATAAATTATTAATATAAATGTATACTCCATGAATGTTCATAAACTTCACACACCTGTGTAACCAGCACCCAGATCAAGAAACAGATTCTTCTTCTACTCAGTACCCCTCCCAAGGGTGACCATTATCCTGACTTCTAACAGAATAATTTTGCCCTTTTTTTGATACTTAATATACATGAATTCATATAGTATATACCCTTGCGTCTGGCTTCTTTTGCTCAACATTATGTTTGAAAGATTCATCCGTATTATTCCTTGTAGTTAGAAATCATTCTCATTGCTATATAGTATTTCATTTTGTTAACATGCCACATGTGATTTATCCATTCTTCTGTTGATGGGGAATTTCTATTTCTGGCTATTACAAGTAGAACATTTTTTTTGGTGGATATACATAAGCAGTTTTGTTGGGATATACACAGGAATGGAATTTCTGGATCATAGGATATGCATATATTCGCCTAGAGTAGAAACTACCAATTTTGCACTCTCATCACCTATGTATGAGAGAGGAATTATCTTTGTAAGTTATAGCTTTATGGTTTAACAATGGTTTTTGTAGCACCTCAGGGCCAACCCAAAAGTTTAGTGACTCTCTTGTCCAAATCAGAATTTGTCCCTTTTACTTCTGTGTCAGCACCTAGAATTCTTAATTACCTTTCCTTCCCAGAATGGAAGCTTATTAATTAGGATTTTTTCAGTTAACATTTGCTGAGTTTCAGCGGGCTTAGAAATGTACTATAGTGGTTAAGAGGGTATGTTTTAGAGCCAGAATGTCTGAATGCAAATCTCAACTCTACTTAACCTCTTAATCTTGGCAAGTGTGTACCTTCTCTGTGCCTCAGTTTCTTTTTCTGTAAAATGGTGGTAATAATAATAATACCTATCTCACAGGGTAGCTATAGGGATAAAATGAGTTAATATTTGTAGAAGTGCTTAGAACTGCCTGGCACATTATCAGTGCTTAATTTAGCTACCAATTACTATAATCACCATCATTAATTGTTATTTACAAAATGCGACATTGCGAGTTGTTAAGGATACATGGCTCTCTTAGTTATAGCAACTAACTGCCTTCTAAGATATCTTAATCAAGTAATAAGTTGAGATATTAAGCATAAGATTCACAAATGAAAGTAAGAACTTTCATGAGAGGGACAAATGAAATACTATCAGAGATTAGAGGCAAATAAGGTCTTGTTCCAGATGAGTGTGACGAGTATGAAATGAAGAAAGTTTTATGGAAGAGTGGGATTTCAACTGAGTCTGAATATTATATAGGATTTTACTCTTCAGAGATTGGGGAGGTGAGAGGGACTCCCTACCAAGGAGTCCAAGACCATAAACTCAGAGGGAGGTAACTCATTAGGGCAAGGGAATGAGAGGAATGATATATTGTAGATTGTAGAGGCTTGAATGTTGCACTGATGAATTTGAACTTGGTTCTACAGTTAACCCTTGAACAACATGGGTTTGAACTGTGTGGGTCAACTTACATGCATTTTTTTTTCTCCTAAATGCAGTATAATACTGTAAATGAATTTTACCTTACTTATGATATTTTTAATAATATTTTATTTTCTCTAGCTTAATTTATTGTAACAATACAGTATATGATATACATAGCATAAAAATATGTGTTAATCAACTGTTTATATTATTGGTAAGGCTTCCAGTAGTAGTTAAGTTTTGGGGGAGTCAAAAGTTTTATGTGGATTTTCAACTGTGTGGGGTTTGGTGCCCCTAACCCCCAATGTTGTTCAAGGGTCAACTGTATAGGTAGCAAAGAGCTGCTAAAGCTTTGTAAGTCTAGAAACCCAAATATAAAAGTTAG